CCCTCTGCTGGACGGCTTGGGAACAACAGGCTCTAAAGAGTCTCTTCTCCGTTAGTTCAGAGTGTGTGCGTGTGCGTGTGTGTGTGCGTGCGTGTGCGTGCGTGTGTGTGTGTGTGTGTGAGAGAGACAGACTGTATGTGTAGGTTTGTGCTTGTGTGTATGGGAATGTGTATATTTAACTGTGTGCACGTGTGGGAGTGCTGTGTATGTGTGCGTGTGTACTTGCACACTGTGTGGGCGTGTGAGTCTGTGCGTGTACTTATACATTCTGTTGGTGTGTAAGACTGACTGTGCATACTTACACGCTGTGTTGGTGTGTGAGTGTCTGTGTGGGTGTTGGACTCACTGATTGACCATAATTTTCCACACCAGGCTGTGCTCCTACTTATCACTGGAGCCACCGTCGGAGCTCCACGTCCCTGTTCCCAGGCCTGACCATTGCAGTGCAGGCAGGACATGATGGAGAAACAATGCCCTTGGAAGCAGCCCTGAGTAATCACTGGTGGGTGTTTGGTGGATAAATACCCAGCTTCCTTGNCCCTTTAACTGTCACCTTCCCTTTCCTGTCCCAGTTCTCCCCAGCACTACTGGCATTTCCTGGGGTCATCTCCCAAAGAAACAGCTGGCAGTAGAACGCTTGTCTTAGGGTCCCCTCCAACTAAAGCAATTGCACTTGAATCCTTGCATCAGGATTTACTTCTGGGGAGCTCAACGTAAGACAGACATGTTGGCTGGCTCCTCCAATCCCTGTAGACCTATTATTGTGCTATTCTTTTTTTTTTTGGAGGTAGAACTATATTTATTTTATTTATTTATTTATTTATTTTCATATATATTTTTTTATTTATTTATTTTTTAATTTTTATTTTGTCAAAATACAATGTATATGATTATCATGGCCCTTCACCGACACCTCCCGCCCTCCTCCCTCTCTCCCCTCCCCCCCAAAAATGTCCNTGATGACCACATACGTAAATCTTGTTTGATAATGTGAAAACTAACTTGGTTTTTTGTTTGTTTGTTTGCTTAGTGGCTGGCTGGTATCAGGATCTAAACC